TGGGCAGTACACCGGGAGACAATCCCCAACTCTTTTCCAGAGTGTACTGGGTTCTTTAACGTGCACATCGGCCATAAATGCACACGGGACCAACGGCTTAAACGTCTCGTCCGAAAGACGTTGCGCTATAATAACGCAAGTTACAATAATTGTAACTTGTATTTCAGCCGTCTAGCGAAAACACAAGGAGAGGCAGCGATGGGAATTGAACCGGGGACCAAGAGATCTCCATGGTTCAGCGCACACAATGGTATCAACGCCAAGGACTAAGATATATTAAACAGTAATTGAAAAGCAGATTATTTAGCTGGTTAACAATTTATTACTATATCTGAGGTCGAGACATACAAATATTTAGGATATACCATGTCTAGAAACAGGTCAGACCATAACCATATACAGTAAAAGAAGTTGTTAAGAAGGGTAACAAAATAATAGGATATATTCAGTCAATTCTTATAACGGACAGGATGACTATAACAGAGTATACTACGGTGACATACTATGGAAATCACTGAGTTTGCCCTCCATCAATTACGCGTGTTCAACCTGGGCAGGGAGCTCTACTGATATGTTAACCATTGAAAAATTACAAATTCAGATGGCAAGGCTTATTCTTCGTGTCCCCGTACATCTAGTAAAGAGGCACTTTACGCAGATCTAGGATGGCATTCACTGGAAGCCATCTAAAATTGCCAACGTGTAAAATTTCAATGTAGGCTAAAAAACTGTAATACAGATCCCTGGCCTCGCTTAGCATTGAATGAAATGGTAGCTTTAAGTGAAACCAAACAAATAAAGTGTACATGGTTCGATCATATGAACAAACTTTTTTTTGAAAGTTAGGTTCAGAATGTGATTTTAATGCAATTGATAATGATAGCCTTCTGGTTATTACTTAAAATAAGATAAAAGAAGAACATATATTGCATCTATATGAAAGTACAAAAACAAAAAAAACTTCACTGGCTACCTACCTGCAAATAAAATCATCGTATGAACTTACAATAGAAAAAATAATTACTTACTTGATAAATTTGATTTCAAAAAGGTTACTCTTAAATTTAAAGCACGCTCGAATACTTTACCACTAAATATTAAAGTGAGCAAATGGATAAGGGACACCAATGAGATATGCCCACTATGTAAGTCTGGTAATGAGGATATTCAGCACTATTTATTCACGTGCAGAAATTCAAAAAATAATGACATTCGTATAGATGAGTTTGTAAAGCTATAGAATATGCTATGAGATTAATGGTCAGTTTGCTTGGGATTTGTTTATTTCTAGTGATTTGAATACCAAAACACGACTCATGCACGGCAATAATGAAATGTACAAATTCTATAGAAATAATAATGATATAAATATAACATTCTATAAAATATGCAAGTCCTGCCTAAAAAGAGCTTGGCAAACAAGGAGTAAAATCATGAATGAATATAACGTAAATAGCAGGTAAACAATGAGTAAACAACGACTCAGAATTTTTAACGCTGTTTTAATGATTTTTAACCCATTATAACCCTTTTTTATAAACAATTTTAACAGCCAGTCTTAACAAGCTTTAAAATGTTTTTATTTTAAGTTATTTTGAAGTCGTTTTTTACAGAATGTTTTTTATATACTGTCAATATCCAACATATATACATGTCTACAAATCCAACTATTATTTTATTATTAATATAAAATTGTTTTTATATTTGTTGTGTAGTGTTATATTTTGTCATCTTTGTGAACGCACCTTCATCGTGTGCCACTGTTGTAAAAGTGAAGATTCAAATAAAGAATGTTATTATTACAGTATTACTAATATCTTTAATTGATTACTAATCCGTTTATTGATATGCATAAAGTTGAAAAAACATCGTATTAACTATCATATATACATAGGCCTACATATTGCTATTTATTCTGTCTTTGCACATCTGTAAACGTTACAATCCGAGAGAATTGCTACCTAATTTCGTAAACGTAGGAAAACAACGTGTACCGTAACTCGCGGCGTGCTGAATGACTTGGGTCGTGGTCCGTGACTACATAGCCGCCCTAAGAGACTCTTATAGTAGCTAAATTTACACATCATTCCACAAAGACAGGGGCTGAAATGAACTATAGCACCGGGCGAACTACCGTTCCGATAGATTAATGAGTTCTTTAAAGTGCACCTATCCAGATGTGTACATTGACCTTGGTTCTGGAATACTTGGTTCTCAACCGAACCTCGGACTAGAAGCGGCTAAAATCAGCGCCAATATGTTAAGACTGTAGTTTGCAGTGCCCCTGACTTGCCACTCGTCATTTTTTCGCCCCAATGGGATTTGGGATTTAAGTGAAGTCTGAATCTTAATCGAGTGCATACAATCAAGGTGTACATCAAGGTGTTTTCAGTCATCCATAATTAGTAAAGTAGCTGTTGAAACAATTATCAGTTTGTATGCCAAGTGTATATGCCTACTTATATATAAACTATTTCTTCGCTTTTATTTATAATTTATATACATCTGTCAAACAAGTATTTATATAATTTGGCTGCATTCTTCTATAAAACCTATATGTCTACTGTAACTATAAAGTCTTAATTTTATTCAAAGTTGCTTTCTTATTGCGATAATAGCTACTCAGAAGTAATATAGAGGAATAATAATTTGCAGAAACAGTACGTATTCGAATAAACGCCATTGGAAGGGAGGAATCATTTCAAGAAGTCGTTTATTTTTTTGTGTGTAAAATTGACTTAATATAACCGCCACTAAATTTCACTGTAAATGTGGAACTACGACACACATAATTACTGTCAAAATGTGTTACTGCGTAATCATAAAGACTTGATCCCGACCAGGTTAGACAAAATGTAATTCTACTGGAGTAGAACATTTATATTGAATATGTTAAGAATGGTATTTGCTTCCATTGATTGGTTACATTTATTTATGGGGCGTTTATTCGATGGACGTGTTTATTCGAAATGAGGCTCTGAGGAGTTTATTCGTGGGGACGTTTATTTGCAAGACGTTCATTCAAGTAAATACGGTTTGCCTATTTCTTTACAGTTTCTCTGCTGGGCCTACGATTATATAAAGATATCGAAATACATACAGTTAAGCCTATTTGTTTATTAGCCTATTATTGATTTATTATATATCTAATTATTTATCCAACTAATCCAACATATTTTTTCTTATGTCTTTTATATTTTTAAAAGAGGGTCTCTGAACATCAGCTGGTCTTCTTGGTCCAGTTGGAAGGGTCACCCTCTATAAATCAAGTTTGCATAAAGAATAAAACGAATTTATCACCAAGTCACAATTTCTCATGTATTACAACCTTGCATAAATAGATTTTGTATTGAGCATAGCTTATAATTTCCAGCTAACACTGCGTACCGAGAAAAATAAAGGGTTTGTTGGGCCAATTACGAGACACCAAATATATTTTTCGACAATGAATGTGATGTGAACCACCATGTCGCAAAGAAGTCTACGAAAATCTGCGACTAGAGAAGAGATTATGTATTTGTGTTTGTTTTTACTTGGGAAACTGTTCAGTAGGAAATTTACGGTTCTCTCGACGGGCTCAGCTTGTAAATTTACAACCCAACCCAGCCTCTCATTGAGCCTAAATTTGTAGTGGACCATTTCCCCCAGTTTAAACAAATTCCCCTTCCCACCCCTCTTCTTTTGAATAGGAAAAAGCTTATTATTACCGTTTCCAAATTTCTTTCTTCTCAGAGATGGTCACCGCTCATAGACATTCGTTAGGCCTTGGCCAGCCATGACCAAAAGGGCTAATTTGCAAGGCTGCCGAAACGGCATGGAAGAGTACGGTGATATGTAGGCCTATATATAAATATATATACATATATATATATATATATATATATATTAATTTGCCGCTTGCTCTTCCTTTATAAGACAAAATATTTTCGCCATTGGCTCTTCCCGAATTTGTTATTGCCTTCTGGCTAAATTGAACCTCTAACAATCTTCGTATCCATTATTCAGATTTTCTCTTTCTGCATTAGATTTACCTTCTCGTTGATCTGAGTTCTTAATAATTGCTTCTTCGTATCCATTATTCATGTTGGCTTTTTCAACCCGTTTGTTAGTTTTTTCCACCCGGTTGTTGTCTTTTAATTGTTCTGAACCTCCAGGAGTTACATATTTAGGTTTAACGTCGCCTGGTAAAGTTTCTTCATAACCATCATTCGATTTAGCTGTACTTTCAGCTGGTTCGTCTTTAGAAAGGTTTAGTTTACCGTAGCCGGGATCCTTGACGCTTTCATCCACGTTTAAAGATGTCCTGTTAAAATGGGAATATTCTTCAGACTCTTCATCGAACGCAGGGGTGGGGATCAGCTTGTTGTAGTCGTCAGTTACGTCATTCGGAACAGTTTTGCGCGTGTTGTGATTTAATTTACTGTATGATTCTTCTTCAATATCACTTTGTCTCAACATCGCATAATCATCGGCTTCCCCACCACCGTTGGTCTCAATTGTGTGTGACGTTTCAGTGACGTCACTATTCTCATCTCTTTGCAAAGTATAATACGCAGGTATAGGTTTATCGATCGAGACATTTGAGTTTAACATCGTCTCGCTTTTATCTTCACCTAATTTCAGATTGGTAGTTTCACTCATGTCTGTAATTGCTGAGGAGTTGCCATTTGGTATCGCATCATTGTTTAGTTGGAGGATCGAGTATGAAGCGTCATTCTTGTCTTGTTGGAGGCCTATGTATTCAGGATCAATTTGTTCGTAGGTATTCTGTTGTAAAGTGGATGGAATGTAGTGATTCTGTACAGGTATGGCTGGCAGCGGCTGGGTCGCGACACTCGTTTCACCTTTAAAGAAAATATAAGGTAAAAATGAATGTATTTAAACAAAAATTCGTAGTCGAATACGTTTTTTCGCAATCTTTATATTTTCTTAATACAAATATAAAAAGTAGTCATTTTCAATTAAAATCAAAAGACAACAGCTATGATTTCATCATCATCAGGCCTACCATCATCGCATTAATATTCCTCTCATTAATAATATCATTATCACTATCGACATCAGTAGCCTTATTAATATCATCATCGTCATCATCACTATCAGTTCGTAGACCCTATGCTTTCCTATCATTATCATTTACCTCATCATTATAAAAATTATCGATATCTCCAGATTTTTTTCAAAAATTGTCAAAAAGTGGAGAGAAAAAAAGAGTTTGTAAGTGCCATTTCCGGTCTTCTAGAGGTGACATAATCGTAATTTTCTGAATGATTATGCTCCATAAGGTCATTGATTTAGTGAAGATCCGAAAAAAAATTTAGGTATTAAACAAAATGATAAGACGCGTTACCTTCAATGTCAACTTTCTCGTTTTCGGCAGAATACCTCACTGTAGATGATTTTGAATTCGATCTTCTTTAAAAAAAAATGATTTTCAACACAAGTGAGTCTTCTGTATTGCATTTTTGCAAAATCAATGATATTACGCTGTTTTTTTCTATTATCATATCAATTATCACCGTCGTTATCATTACTAGTATCACCATCACCACCGTCATCATCACCACCATAATCATCATCATCATCATCGTCATCATCATCATCACTATCATCATCCTCATCATCACCATCATCATCATCATCATCATCATCACTATCATCATCCTCATAATCATTATTATTATTATTATTATTATTATATTTACCCCTTTCCTTTGTTTTTTTTGTGAATCCAGTAACAAACTGTGATGAGAATTGCTATAATCACGATGACTACACAACACGACACTACCACAGCGACAACAACATCTTCAGTAATATGTGGAATAACAAAAAAAGTCTCATATCCATACATTATACTCTATTTAAGTTTGCTGCGTAGCACCGTAAACACAATATAGCCAAAATATAAATAATAATAATAACAGTGCTCAGATAAGAAAATAATATATAATTTATCGATTTCTTTGTTATCATTTAAGTGACTGTGCCTTATCAGACACAGAAGTTATTTTGTATCTTGAATAAAGTTTATAATGTTTGCGCCGCTAGGTTCCTCCCTCTTCATCAGTATATTACACCACTGTGGATGTTCTATTAACTAATCAACAATTAGAGTAGTTGTGTATCATATATTATGTGGAAATTATTACACGAAAGTTAAGAAAAAATGCAAGAAAAACATATTCTGAAGTCCTGTCGTGTGCTAATGGAAAATTAGTGCACGGTTTAAATTATGAAAATAACATTGGGAGTTGCAATGATGACGTCACGATTGACTTATGATTTATCTTGTTATTATCTTGTTTGTGTTTTAAAATACTACTCTATACTCATTCGATCATAAATAAACACACAAACTGATATATCTATCACAATAAAACAAAATTTATTTAAATTATATCAATATTGAAAAATAGATCAGTTACAGGATGATCAATCTACACTCTAAATGAATATTCACTCACTTACTTTCCTCACTATCGTTATTACTCCTGCATTCTCCTTGTTGGCAAGGGGATTGGCAATCATCACAAGTAGCTATATTATGTTTAAATAATAATAATATTATTATTATTATTATTATTATTATTATAATTATTGATAGTAAATTTGTCATCTATACAATAGCCAAGCAAAATTTGATGCCTTTTAAGACTGAGCTTACTCTCTAAATATGAGACTCCTCTAATTCGAGACCGAGACCACCTTTATGGACGGACCAAGTGACAAAGTGACCTCCAATTGAAGACCACATTTTAAAATAGTCATAATACTGTGTAATTTGAAAAAAAAAAAAAAAACATTAACAAATGTTCATAATTTTTTCGTACAGTACGCCCAAAAAAAATTAAAATGTAATTAAAATTAAAATCTTTTACCACTAACCGATGCCTTGGCGTCAAAAACATATATATAGATACGCACACTACCATAATATGACTTCAGATAATAAAGTTATGACCTTTTTCACATAGGCTTATTTTAACTGCCAAAGGGTCACGTCTCCCCTCCCTCCTCTTCACTGTCACATTTTCAGTCGTGTCAATGGTGTCAAAATGCTCAGGACAATAAACCGCTTCATTTTAGACCATACATTTGGTATTTGACATAATATCCTTTGTTGAATTTTTAAGGAGAAATCGTTAGTTTTAGACCACTGGCTGTGAATCAACAACTCATCGGAAAGCTGCTTATTGAAGAGCTGCTTATTGAAGATTGGGAACATAAGGAAAGGCCAAGTAACACAAAAGAAAATATTTTGTTTACTTTACAGCATACTGTTCAGATTTTTTTTTTCCCAATGTGTTTTAACAGTTTAAATTAGGTGAGACTAAGCCTCAAAAGCCTCAGCGGAGCAATGAGTGACAAAACTTTCTCACCGACCTTTGTTAGTACAATCTTGGCTGCGGCCGAAAGGTAAGGTAAGAGAAGCATCAGAAAAAAGAATTTTACTTGTACAAACCTATCTAAAACATAAGATTAATTAATCTTTTATCTTATTTGATATGTACATTAAATTTAACTTACGTTTATTGATTTTATCCCCTTTGCAACAGCAACTGCAAACATATAATAGTAAAAAATTAACAATAAACAATATTATACAACACCTGTATATATTAATTTTATGGGTTGAAAACAGGGCACGTGAGATTGATTTAATTTGAGTACCAGTTAACGATCGTTGAATAGTACTTTTTCATATTCAAGACGTCAAAAATCTCAAATGCAACGCGAGCAAGAAAAGTTAGCTTAGCCTAGGCAATTCGGGGTTGGTTATTCAGTAGCCCTCCATTCAGTAGCCCTCCAGTAGGTCCATTCGTACTGGACTGGGCCATGTACTATTGAGCGAAGGAGGTTTGGAAGAATTACTTTACTAAGAGATACAGCTAGGTGTTGCATAAAACAAATAATATTTTTTTATTCTTACAATGGGGTAGAATATTTCATTCGGTGAAAGATTGGATGTTCTATTGAACGGCTACGCATCGTTGAATAGAACATCCTCAAAAAATATTCTAGCCCATTGCACTCATAAAATTATGATTCATTAGGCCTATTTGTATATTATAGCATATTATAAAACAACCATGCACATCTGTGTGTATAATGAGCAATTATGATAATTCAAAAAAATTGTTATTAGTAAACTCAAATAAAATAAGATAATTAAAGTATATTAACCCCCTCTAATGAAAAACTTGGACCCACCTTTAGTGTAGTAGAAGGCTTATTTTGTTAGGAATACCCCTATTCCAGGGGCGCAGTTACGTGGTACCCCTGGAGTGGCTGCGAACAATAAATGCGGAACTACAAAATGATCAGTGGCGTAACGGTCGAAGGACCCGAGCCAGG